GCAGTGGCTCTTTTGGCAGACACCATTTGTAATATTTGATGCAGCCTTTTTGCAGAGTACAAAACTGGTGAGAGATAGAAGTGAGACACAGAGATAATAGAGAGCCCTGCGGTGGTGCCTGGACTTACGTTTCAGCTGCCAGCGTAATGTGTGGGTGGGGCTCATAGAATTTTATTGCAAAGCATCACTCAAATGAGTGTGGAAACTAAGAAGATACGTCAGAGAGAGAGAGAGAGAGAGAGAGAGAGAGAGAGAAAGAGAGAGAGAAAGAGAGAAAGTCAGTGTTTTGTGCATGGAAAATGATGCTGGCAGCTACTTTAGTACTGAAGTGGCCGAATAAACCCATTCACAGATGAGCTAACTTTCGAGCATGTATTAAACTTCTCTGGGCTTAAGGGGGCACTTGGAGAAGTCGGGCACCTCTGCGCTTACAAATGCTCATTGACGGAGTTCCTAAAGAATTAGTAATGGCATGTTATTGCACGAGAGCTGTCTCCCCCAAATGATTCCCCAACTTTGGCTTTCAGGGCACCCTGCGTCACAGCAACCCCACTTTGAGGTGGCCCGCCCATTGGCAGGTGTCACCCAACATTTTCTTTAAATTCCCCCTTTGACCCAGCCATTCTTAGTCCCTGGAATGCTGCCCTTATCCCTGGAGGCTCCCATGTGTCCCCTGACACAGTTTTGCTTCTGACTGCCTTGAACTACTTCCCCGTCCCTAGATGTGTCATTGCTGCTTAACTCTGTGAGAAGACCTCTGGACCTGGGTCACAGCGGTCCATGGTGCCCCCATGGGCTGTGGCATCCTCCTTGGCCACTAGAAACTAAGCTCTTTGTATAGAATTATGACAGATTACAGGTGTCGTACTTTGGGGTGCTGTGGCAACCTAGCATAGATAGGGTGGCTTATAAACAACAGAAATTTACTTCTCCCGTTCTGGAGACTGCATGTCTGAGATCAGAGTGCCGGCGTGGTTGGGTTCTGGTCAGGCCTGTTCCCTGATTCACAGATAGCATCTTCTTGCTGTATCCTGATGTGGCAGAAGGCGACTCGTTTAGCTCTCTGGCCTCTTTTTATGAGAGCACAAATCCCCTGCATGAGGGCTCCACCCTCATGACCTACTCATCCCCTAAATGTCCCAATGCCTAATACCATCACACTGGTATCAGGGGTAGGATTTCAATGTTTGAATTGGGGTTGGGGGGGGGGACGGGACATAAACATTTAGTCCACTGCAGCAAGCGAGTTCAGTTAGCACAATGGGTGAGCAGACATGGATGGTGGCTTTAGTCCACCATATGGACAGCCCTTGGGGATTGGTGACAATGGTGTCTGACCCAAGACTAACTTATTTTTATTGACGATCTAAAGGAGAAGTTGAGAAAGGTGAGCCTTCCTCAGGGGTTCTCTAGACCTGCCACCTTGACTCCCAGGCATTGCTTGTCTGGAAATGCACGAGTTCACTTCCACTGACCTAAGAGGTGGCTGTTTGTTGTTGGCCCCCGCCGCCCCCTTGCAGACCACCAGCCAGACGGAGCTAGAAAACTGGATCACCGCCATCCATTCAGCCTGTGCAGCTGCGGTCGCCAGGCATCACCACAAAGAGGACACTCTCCGGCTCCTGAAGTCAGAAATCAAAAAACTGGAACAAAAGATCGACATGGATGAGAAGATGAAGAAAATGGGTGAAATGCAGCTGTCTTCCGTCACTGATTCCAAGAAGAAGAAAACTATCTTAGATCAGGTAATCGTTCTTCTGTGTTTAGACTGGGGCAAAAACGGTTAGGTCTTTCGAGTTTTTCTGCTACTTTGGGATCACGAGACATCATTGGTTATCTCGTCGTCATCAGCCTATCATCCACACTGCTAAATTCTTTATTGTGACTGTCAGTTTTCCTCATCCATTGTTCACCATTGATTGTCACGAGCGAAAGGGAACAATATGACACTGAATACTGAATGAAAGACAGAAATCTAGTAGAGGACTCTCCCCGCTCCCACCGATGGCTGGCTGTTCCCAGGCACCTGTGCAATTGGAAAGTCTGAACTTTCCTTCCCCACGTTATCGGGTGGACTTGGAGCTCACTGTGGTGGGGACCCACTCCTGACTCCCATAAATTCAGCATTCTAAATTTAGAAAAGGCAGAGTGCATTTGCAAAAGTGTAGATATAATTGCTGTCTATCAGCACAACTATATTTTATGCTGAAAAGGAACGATTTAATGAGATAACCCAGGGCATTTTGGCCTTCTCCTCAGTTGTGTCCAAGTCGTGATGGCCACCTAGTAATGCTTTCAAACTTGGTCCTAATGTTTAGGAAATAATGACGTGAATCAATCTTGTTTAAATAACTGAACAGTTGATGACATGGGACAGCATGTGGCCTTCTGT